TTTTAAGAGATTTTCAAGTTATTGGAATAAAAAGCCCCTGGTTGTCCAAGTCAGTGCTTTGTATTTGGCACTTGAGTTGTCAGGCTTGTTAAGGCAAAAACATGAAAGTCTTGGTAAAGGTACATTCCTGTGCTATTAAACGCTTCTCTTCCGTACTTATGTCAAAATAAGTACATGCTCTATTATTTCCTCAATTTCAGATTTTAAGAAATTCTATCAATGTATCTTTAGTGTAGTTCCCTTTAAGTTTGCAAAATAATTTCACTTTAGTCATGAAGAATATACAGAAAGTTTCCTACGGGAAATTCAGTTACTGTTTGACGTGTAAAACATTCCTTGCTGGTGCATGTTAATATTTTAAGACCTAGTAGCAATTCCTGTAGACAGTAAGAATCATGGTATCATTAGAACTATACTATAAAATATACACAAGCATATATAGAAAATTAACCAGAGAAATATCAGTTGCACATTGAAAATCATTTTTCTAAACCAATTCAAAAAGATTATCAAAATACAAAACCAGCTTAAAAAAACAGCCTGAGGTAAGAGTTAAATGCAAATAGCAATCTTTTCCTTAAAAAAATAGCTGTATTGAAATTCTAGGTACTTAGAAAGTTACTTACTGTCAATAAAAACTTTTACTAACAATTGTAAAGAGTACTTTAACTAATACAAAAGTATATAAACATTGTACACAGATTCAAAGTAAAAATGTACATTACTGTACTGTCATTTCATTTAAAAATATATAGTTATGACAATTCAAACTTTTACCATACACACAGTTAACTGGCTTTGGATTAGCTGCTACTGCTGTCCATGGAGCAGTCAGCTAAATCTGTGTGCTGCTGACTTTCAGCTGTGCTAGGACATGGTATTTTACCACGTCCATTTGCCTGAGTAAGTCGTTGGCTGTAAAACAAAATGTAAGCTTGAGCCTTGCATACTTCTTCCATAGTGCACATGTTGAGTTTTGAATCATTGCAGTGTACCCAAAATCCTGCAGTGAAGAAATACACCAAAAAAAGTCATCGGGATGCTGATCTGAGGTAATTGCATTGTATTTAATAATTAATTAGCAACTCCCATTTAACAAGTTGTGCAGAAATAGCATACTGTTTCAGTTGATCTAGTTTGTTTGCCTCTAGATTCTAAAAGCCCAGCTTAGGCTCCTCAGATTTATGAGAGTTTATAGTCAGAACACATTTAACAAGCCAATACAAAAACTGAACTGTTTTGGTTAACAGAACTGCAATTCTCATTCCAGGCCATTCAGCTACAAGCAACTCCCTTTTGGTTTGAGAAAAGACAGTAAACTTATCAGTCTAGAATTACAAACACTCCGTTCTCCCACACTCCTTATTTCACATCTGGTTCCTACCTCCTTCTGAATTGTAGCAGTAGGCAGTGTAGTGCCCTGAGCCAAATCCTTTCCCGTGATGCATTACCACAGCAGACAAGTCGTAGATAAAGCAGTCAGGTAGGAGAGACTTGAGCGATTCTCTGCAGCAGTAAGGCTCCATGTTCAGTATCTGATCAAAATTAACGTGTACGCCAATCTTCTCACGATGGTTTCGTCCTGACCACCTGGAAAATTAAGTCAAAGGAAAACTTACATTCTTTCAAAGAAAGAACACAGCATTCTGAATTATGTTTCAACATAGCAAGTGGTATCTTCACTATTATCTTTGTGCAGAAAATAAATGCTTAATTTGCGTACTTTTTTTCTAGGCTTCCTATTTCACTTCTTCTAAAGGCCTTTTAAAATGTGTCTGTCTATAGTACCTACTATTCTCATCTTCCAAAATACCCATCTTAAGATCTGTGTAAAGGTGAGTGGGAAGTTACTTCCCACGTACTATAATATCTCATTGGTATTTCTGATTTATTCCATCTCATTTCCAGTTTCCTTTGTATTCGTGAAAGATTCTGTACTAATGCGTGGACTAAGAGTTCACAGAGAAGCAGTCTCCGCTTCCTTACTCTCGGGCTACTGCATTAATGTATTTGTTTATAAGAGGGTTACATGACACTTCCACTGAATACAATCTCGGTTTGTCCATTAGTGAATATGAGCCTTTACTCTACCTAAAGGTAACACAGGATTAATTTTTACCAACAGAGTTCACAGCAAGGTTAGTAGGTTTTGATTGAAAAGAAGGATGAAATAATTCTGGCATTGAAGTGACAAGCAGTTGTCACTTCAGAAGGTCAGTTCTCTACTTACAGTGTATCTTATTGATGCTTAAATTAAACAAGAAAGTAAGTTTCTAATAATTATTTGTCATTGTGCTAGTGACAGGAAATGAAACTGATGCTGAAAAACATTGACCCCAAACAACGGAAGAGTGGGACTGAATTGGTCAGTTTGCAACACTGTACATTGTGGTACTACTTACCTAAACCGTTTAAGGTGTAATCTGAGAACCTGAGGTAGTCGACACACCATAAGCTGCTTCTGAGCTTCTGTGAGTATAACTGGTTTAGAAGAAAACTTTCTTCGTTTTGCTGAGGCCAAACACACAGTTACATAATACAAATCTCGATAACAGCCTTGTATTTCAGTCTAAGATTTATCCATCAAATTTGGGTGGACCTAAATAGCTATCGTATGTGCCTCCTTATAAAAGGATACACTCTCGAGAGCCATTTTGCAAGTATTATTTTATGATGCAAGTATAAAATATCAGTGGTCACTTAGGTTAGTCACCTTAATTTAAAAAGGTGATGGGTTCTTCAGCTGGGATCAGAATCCCCATTAGTGTGTGATCAGACTTTCTCTAAGAGAAGCATCACACTTTAAAACATCCTTTGAATAATTCCATTTTCTAGATGGCAAGTCATACCTGTCAAGTGACCACACCAGGACTTTGTTTGCAACACACTTTTTAGGACTTAATAGTATTTTCCTTCCATGCTTTCACAGTCAGTTTACTTTATATTTTACACAGAGAATGTATGCATGAGTACATACTGCCTTTACTCACTGTTGCACTGATCACATGCATATATCTTTCCTTCCAAAGCTTCAGTTTCTGTAAACTTGGCCAGCATTTCTGTCAGCAGACAGGGATACTGAGACGACATCTCCTTGCCGTTGCAGTGATACCTCTCAGGAAACTCCAGGGACAGGTCCCAGAAAGGTTCTATGGTATTTGATTTATTGTCACAGGCAAGACATGTAACCTGTAAAACAGTATTTCACCAGTTGCTTACACTCAGAAACTTACTTTGCTAAAAGTGTGCCATAACATAGCTCTACAAAAAACCTAATTATTTGTTTTCCTAGAGATAACTGATGCAACCAAAGACAAGAAGACATAGTTATTTAACAAAAGAAATTATACACCTAATTTCTTTTCTCTGAAGCAACATATCCAATACTGTTATCCCAAATAGGTAAGTGTTCTTATGTTTTACTGAGAAACAAAAACAGTGTCAAAATGGTCTGCCTGGGACTGTCCAAGAGAAAGCAGCTGGTGGACTCGCAGGAGTCTTTTCTCCAAAAAGAAACATTCCAAAGGAAAATTTACATGAGAGACAGAAACTATAGTTTAGGTTAATTTAAATTAAAAAAAAAACCAGCTGGGGATTTTAAAGTCATATCCTTCTTACTTTGTAAGTCTTCCAGGGAAGCCTGGATTAGGAAGCACACTTCTTCAAAGAAAAATTAACAGGTAAAAATAATTTATTTCTTCTTTCAGTAAGTGGATCCATCGTCACACTAGGGAAAGGACAAGCAGTAAGACAACATAAATAAAATGTCAAGAAGTGAAGTGAGTCAACCTGGAAAATGCAGATAATACAGCAGAGGACAAGTAATTTATGCTAACATTCAATATTTAGGAAAGTAAGTTAAAAGCAGCAGCTCTTCCATGCTGTAATGGCAACACATTAGGTATCAATTTGTAATGCAGCCTTGTAAAAGCCAGCTCAAGCTGTTTATAAAGAGTGTCACATCGTTTGAGTTCTTCCTCCAAAGGACCTCCACCCTTCCATGATCCATGTGGATGAATAACTTTTATTAGCAGTTCAACCTATGCAGTAGTCAAACTCCATTTAGACTGTAAGAAGCATAGTTCATAAAGGCTATAAGGAAATACCAGTAAATACCAAGTGCTTGTGTGAGGCTAAAGATATGTTCACCTAAGTATGTTCAATGCAATGAAGTACAGTACAATCCTGGAGTAATTACCTGAGTTTTTTACTGTTAATGTATTTATTTGGCTTATAAATTGCAGTTGACCACTAATTCAAGCAGCTCTAACCTCACTGTTCTAGCAAAGATGCATTCTGAAATTAAGTTAAATTTTAACTGGGCTCAGATAGATAGCTTTGACAGAACTTCCATAAGCATCCAACATGTTCCCACCCCCTTCCCCAACAATTAAACTTTCCTGCCAAAAAGATTAACGGAACTCAGAATTTTTATACAGGACCAACTGTCAGGATACTGTTATTTGTCAGCTCAGAATAACAGCCCGGTGTGATGAGACACCACCATTCAGGTTTTACAGTAAATGGAGTATCACGTATGTCCCTAAATTTGCACCACGAGGGTAAGTAATTGCCAAATTAAATCTCTATAAGCATGCTTCCTATTTAGGAAAATACCACAAGTCGTTTGGAACAACCAATACAAAGATGTAGTAATAAAGGAATGAAAATCCACGAGAGATCCAAATATTGTTATTTCACAGGCACACCTTTGTGTTGCTGTTCTACATAGATTCAGTGTAGTTCATTTAGGTCAGTAAGCCTACACAAGTGTAAAAATACATTGCTTTGTTCAAGAGCTCCTTTATTTTCCACTGAAGCTGTTAGGTAATTATTAACCCTGCTTTGCCTGTTATTTCATGATCATTTATATAAGGACAGATCTGCCACCTAACAGTACCTTCCTCCTAGGTGTTCCTGTGAGTAATTATTTAATGCATTCATTAGCTACGACAGCTTATACACAATCTATGCATTAGCTATATCTAATGTGTGTATGTATTTGTGTACCAGGATACAAGTTTAGCAGTGGAGTTAGGAAAGCTATTAGCTGCCTTAAGTTGCAAGAAGGAAACGCCACTGCCTTGTTCTTAGAAAACAAAACTTCGAACTTACATGGCAGAAAGAGGGGAATCTTCTGTTTTAATTTACACTGACAGAAGCTTCTTTTGTAAGTGCTAACATCTGGCAACGTTTCAAAGCCACAAACTATTAGTAATTCAGAGCTGGAATCTAGACTTGGAGACAAAATGATATGTTTGGCTACAGTTCAAGCTAACTCCAGCATAAACACAGAATGACTAATAGATTTCTGCTGTACAAATGGGGGGTTTTGTTGGGCCAAAAGTTTATTTAATTGACGAGTTACTTAAGAATTTGTTGCACATGAATGCACAGTGAAGATTAATGGGCTCAGGATGAAGTACATACGTGAACTCAGAACAGATAATTTTAACAAGTTCTGAGGTTTTACATTTAGTGTGTAATGTTAACAATCTAGGTTATTTTACGATCCTCTTTCCCAACTGATTAATAAGTAATATCCCAAAGAAAAAAGACACACCCCCCCTCCCAAAAATCGATCGAGCTTCCAATTTTTGCCTCTCAATAAACCAAAAGAGATAAACGGATGCAACAGTGCTGCTTCTCACCTTGTCATGCAACTGAGCAAACCTGATTTGTGCTAACAAAATCCTGTACCAATATAGAGCTGCACTTACTTCCTAAATGCAAGACACTCCTCCTCACCATGAGGCTGCAGTGGAGTTAAAACTCCTAAGAGTTATCCAGGATTTGCGTACTTGCCACCAGCCAAGTAACCTGATGTATTTGGGTAAGCATACAGCCAACCGTCGTATCAGCCGCTGCGCTCCTGTACACACTTGCACTCAGTGGTAAATGAGGTAAATCAGGGCTGGAACAAAGGTTGGAAGTATTTTTCTTAGCCAGCCCTGAGTTTCGAAATTGGCTTACTCAACAAGTAGGAGGATCCCTACCCTTCTGTGGAATCCATCTGCACTGGCCTGACCATCAGCACGGGCTTCACAACACTTCCATCCCTTCTCGCTCTGTCCTACAAGGGACTCCTTTATCTCCCACTCTACTACCATTCACACAGTACAACCCAGATTTTCCTTTTTCATGAAAAGCACTGAAATTGTATAAACTGTATAAACTTGGTTGAACAAGATCTGAGATTTTTATTAAAAACAAAAACAAAAAAATCCCAAACATGAACTCAAAGGGCTGGCAAAAACCTGATGTATCCATCAAATGTAACTCTTTATGGTATGAGTATGCACAACAGTAACAGGGAAGTGAGTCTGCTCTAGCAATCTGGTTAGTGACTTCTCTCGTTTTATGACCGCATTTTCCAAATTCAAAGTTTGCTTTCACATCCCCATTATATTCCATAACTGCTATTTTAGGAAGCCTTAATACTGTCATTTATAACAAAACTACATGAGAAGTTTACATTAGATCAAAGAAAATAAATTACTGTTTTTAGCTAGTCTGATAACTCTACCTTATGTTCTGCCCTGACCACCCTCTCATGCCTTGAAACCCGGGTACTATATACAATTGTTTGGTTAAAGCTTAGTATTCAATCATGGGCCAAAGGCCAGACTGAAGAGATGGATCAAATTGCTTGATTCAACCTCAGCATGGAGGCCACTCAGACAAGCATCATTGTGCCCACAATAATTTGATGGACAGCCACTGCCCCGGATGGCATTCAGCCTAAATGCAGCCAAAGAAAATAGTTAACATATTGCTGCAAAAGAAGCCAACTCCATCATCAACTGTTTTGCCTATGTTCCCTGTACTTGCATGGAAGAGAGACAACTGTTACCATCTCTGCTCCAATTCTGTTTTGGTTTTTAAGAACAGTAAGATGGCCAGTCCTGTTTTTGTGCTTTCACTACTACTTAAGTTTTCACTATATGAGACATATATCGAAAGAGCAGTAATTGAATTTTTCCACAGCAAAGTAATCAAAGTAGAAGAGGATTTCTAGGATGCTGCTATAATATAGAATTCCACATGACAGTCCATCCATACTGTATTTCTTCAATTATAAAAAGAACTAAGCTGTGTAGTGATGAGCACACACCATCATCAGAATGATCTTATCTATTTAACAGAACAACATAAGCATAACCACAGCGAACTGTGGTCTGTGATTCAGTGGCCTCCTAAATATTAACTTAAAATGTCACCTTCACCTATTTGGAAAGCAACTTGACAACCATTTTGTGATTCAGGCAACACATAAAACCACAGAGACTAATACCAGAATACAGAAATCAGTATACAGGTAATGGATGGTCTAAGTGCAAGTCCTCCTATTACCTACCTGAAATTCACATAATTTTTAATAGTCTATTCATTGTGAGACTTAATATGCAGCACTGCATGATAGTCACCCTCAGTATTCTCCCTCAAACTTTAATTCACAACATACTACCCAAAACTGAACGGCTTCAAACAACCCAAAGACTGCACATTTCCACCAATCTGTCCTGAAATACAGCAGTTGAGCAAGCAAATGGAGCAAGACTTGCAAGGAGAGGCACTGCCTCTTAAAACTTTAAACATAATTTACACACTACGTTTGTTAGAACCTACTTCATTCACTGGGTTTTGGTATATTCATTACTCTTGAGCACTGCACGCTGTTGTTCTGCCATGCTGAGTGGGGCTGGGGCAGGGGCGTTTTGCTCAAATTCTGTCTTAAACACGATTAGTAAGTAATCAAGCCATTTTGGTTTTTTTTAAGCATGCCTAGAGATACCAAATCAAGTTCTTAGTAGGCATTGCTAAAATAAATGGTGAATAATTGGGAAAAAATCTTATAACCCAAGATAGGTTTGTCCTAAGAAGAAACAGTAACTAATCACAACTTTGCTGTAGAGGAAACTTGTTACTAAATCATCATAGCCACTGCTCTTCACTTTCACTGCTGTAATGGAAATCTAGACAAAGACCTTTATGTAAGGCACCAGACTCAAAAGCAGTGGAATGAAAAACCAACCCAATTCAAAACCCAACCCAAACAAAACAGTTTCTAAAGGGTTCCTCACCACTCCAAAAAGATGTTAAAATTACATTGGCTAGGTATTTCTTTGATCATTTGTATGAAATTTGATTTTAGTCAACAGCACTCTATGAAGAAATCATCAATTACT